CCAATAAACCCATTTCACAATCTCATTTCCATTGTCACTATAAAAATGTAAGCCATACAATCATAAGAAAATATAATCTAAGACAAGATAATAGATTCAACATAATCATTTATAGAAATTTAGGTCCATTACATCAACTATAAAGCTCTAGATTATGAAAATGCCATATACATACTTCATTCCCCAAAATAAACAAAACTAAAGCATGCTTACGAAGGAGGGCTTCATCACCTCCCTAGAAAGGGAGTTAGTTACCCATAGAAGCAATGCAGGAATGAGTAGAGGAGATCTTCCCCTCCATTTTCGCACCTAGAGGCAAGCTCCAACCTAAAGCTCTCAAGAACAATATTTCTCTCTCCAGAAATCCTTACAATGTGAGATCTTATTATAATGGTTCAAGCCATCTATATAGCAAAAATAACCTCCCAACAACTCTAAATTCGTGGCCCAAAATCCCTGAGAGAATGCAGACCTATCCCTTGAATCAAGGGAATAACTTTGGGGGAAACAATGCAGCCCATGATTTGTTGTCTGCAATTTGGCAGGCGCCCGCAGGATGCCAAGGGTGCTTTCCATGCACTACAGAAGGGCACCTTACCTCTGATGGGGGCACTTGGTAGGCACCCGTAGCTTTTGGTGGGGCCCTGCCAAATCTGAAACCTACTGGACAAATTGGCGGGCGCCCGCAGTGCGTAGCAGGTGCCCGCAATGCTCCTGGGCATAAATCACATTCTCGAGTTGGCTTTGGCTCAGCCTGATGATACGATCATCCTCCTTAGCACTTTTTGCAGAGAAAACCATGAGTTCAATGGATCACTGGCTTGGCCAAAATGAAGGTCCCGACAAGGGCATGCTTTAATCTTCAAGAACTTATACAAACCTCACTTTTACCTATTTTTGGGGAACCAACCTGAAAGTAAATAAAAACATGCAAATGAAGCTAATATATACAATATAATCAACTAATGGACTTAACTAATGTAAATAAGAGTGCTTGAATTTACAATATTCGGCGCTTATCATGGGACCCACCACTTATCTTTAAATGGCATGAAGGCCACATGTGGCCTCATAATTCTCTCTCTCTCCCGCAACTCACTTTTTATCCCTTTTCTCATTTCATTTTCTTTTTTCTTTCCAAGTGAGACTTCAATCCTTGATTTCCTTCTTGTCTTCTGGAATTTTTGGGTATCGTTTGCAGCAAATCGGAGAGTACGGCGAGATCTATGTGTGAGTACAAGCAATTCCTTATTTGGTGCATCCTAGGAATTCTAAAAATTTGGACCCATTTGAGGGTTTTCTACAAAATTGAGGTAGGGGTGTTCTAATCCATAACTTCTTGGAATTTTGTGAATTTTCCCCTTTAATTTGACCATAAGCATGCTTAATTTAATTATCTTGTCCATTGCTATTGTGGTTGTATGTGCTCAAAATGACAAATGTGTTTTACATGCTAATTGGGTTATATACATGGCTATTTACATTATTATGAAGAAATATGCTTAATTTTGGTATACTGTGTGACTTGTGAATTCTTAATTGCTATGGAAATTGATGTCGTGGCTGTGAAATAATTGTTTAGAATTTCCTATCAATAATAATAATAATAATAAAATTATGATGATGTAGAAAAGCATGTAAAATTTTATTGTTGAATTGTGCTTAGAAGCATGAAGCATTCATGCATCCATTGGGAATAAAATAGAAAGGGAAATTTGTTTTAGAAAACAAATGAAATTATTTTTGGGAATTTTTTTTTGAAATGTGTTTGCGAAAACTGGACGCTTAGGAGGCGCCTAGTGGTCCGTGGTGTTAGTGTAGTCTAGAAAGGAGTGTGGTTGAGATAACTAGGTCAAATGCGACGCCTTGAAGGTGCCTTGTGGTCATGGATAGTTAGCCAATCCTTCTTTCGTGAGGCCTTGGAGGTGCCTTGGGTCAGATTACACTAACGGTTTGGAAGTTGAAACGAAAATATTTCGGATAAGGGGAGCGACATGGGTATGGCATTGTACTTCATTGTCATATATGGTATACTTGTGACTTTGATGACAATTGTGGTTATATTTAACGTTGTGGATATGGATTGTATCCTTGGTATAGTATGATCCCGTTCTCTTGATTTCTATTCTATACGTAGATTCACGGGGTCATAAGTGGTGTGTCTTAGACACCTCCTATATGCTCACCCCATTATTTTAACATTTTTCAGGTTTGGAAAAGGAAGTGGCGGACGACGTTCCTTTACAGGTTTTGATGGGTTAGTAGATTGTTTGACCTATTTTGTAGCTATGATATCATATTATTATTATTATTACTATAATTATTATTTATAAACCTTGGGATGACACGAATATTATGTATTGCTATAGGAAAGAATGTTAACGACTTATTTTTTTTATTTATTTTTTTTTTATTTATTTTTTTCCTGAATGGGTGGTTTTATAAACAAAAGAAAATATGTACAAAAAAGGTGGAATCTCTCCAAACAACTAATCTAAAAGTAGACAAGCCCACTTCCAGATCAAGCAAACCGAAACAAAAAATTGTAACAATCAAGCTAATTGAATAATTTAAGCAGCTCCAAAAGATAGAAGCTATGAAAAAGAAGGGTCTCCCAAATAACATGCTTGACTAATTGATCCACATCTTCCTGGATACCTTGATGCAAATATTTATTCTGAGCCTTCCAAATTATCCAAATGGTGGCAAAAACACAGTCCTAAGAATCTTAGATTTAGTTCTCTTTGTAGAAGCATTAAGTAGAAACCAATCCACAATCTTATCCATAGAGATGAAGTCTTGTAATGGATATTTAAACAATTTGAACAAATCCTTCCAAACCTTATTAGCCAATGGACAAGAGTAGAACAAATGAGCATTAAAATCTGCATTAACAAAACAATTGTGACACACTAAAGACACCTGTAAACCCCTCTTCTGCAAATTCACAAAGGAAAGATTTTTATTCAGCATAATAATATGAACAACCACAACTGTCCGAGGTCTACAACCCTTCCAACAAAGCTTAAACCATTTCAGCTTTTGATCCCGCAATCTGCACACTTCCCACGCTGCTTTCAAAGAAAAAATGCCATGCTGACAAAGAATAGTGTCTTGACCAACATATATTTGCAATCTAAAAATAAAATCTCTAGCCAAGGAAGGAAAAAACTCTGGAAAATGCCATTGATTTCCATGAACAATGGACTCAACCTTAGCCATAGAATCAAAATTTCTAAAAAACACTACCCCAAATCTATGAGCAATCGAAAAAGAAGTACACCAAGGATCACGAAGCAAATTGAAAGACTTCCCAATACCCACTTTAAACACAAGGTGAGGTAACAACTGATCTCGGACCTCCAAAATCTGTTTCCAAATAACTGAATCAGAAGTTCTAGAATTAATTGTCCAGAAATTAGAAGAATTCAAGTATCTAGCCTGCAGCCACTTAATCCAGAGATTATCTTTCTTTTGAACAAAGCCCCAACAGATTAAAAGCTTAAAAGTAACATCAATGTCACTGATCCGACGTAGATTAAAACCTCCTTCATCACGAGGGAGCATAACCTGACTCCATTTAATCTGAGACATCTTAGTGCTCTCTATTTTACCACTCCATAAAAATTTCTTAAACTTCTTTTCGAGAGTGATCCTATAGCCCCATGGAATTTTAAAGCCAAACAACCAAAGATAAAGAAAATAGTAAAGGACTGATCTCAAAAGCTCAATCATACCAGCCATAAAATGATTAAGAGTGTTCCAGTGATTGAACCGAGCATCAACTTTGTCAATTAGAGGCTTGTAATCAAAACTTCTCAAAGAACTATTAGCCAAAGGGATACCCAGATATTTGAAAGGGAAATTTTCTTCTTTGAACTTCAAAACTTGCAAACTCCGATTCTTACACCGAACCGCTTTAGAAAAAATTACCGAGCTCTTATTATTATTTATAGAGAGTCTAGTGCCACTTGTAAATTTCTCAAATACATCCACAATTGATTGAGCAATACCTATTCTAGCCTTAACAACAATAAGCAAATCATCGGCATAAAAAGTATGAGAAATCTTCAAACCAGAATTGACAGCCGCGTTATAGAGCTTAATGGATCCATCATTAATACTAGCTGCCATAAAGGAAGAGAAATGCTCAACAACTAAAGTAAAAAGCAATGGGGAAAGAGGACATCCCTGTCGCAGGCCCCTAGAAGCTGAGAAGAAGCCGGCAGGTACTCCATTACAGAGCATAGAGAAATTAACATTGGAGACACACTTCATACACCAAGAAATCCATTTGTCACTGAACCCATGTAGCATCATAATATTTTCAAGAAAACTCCACTCAATTGAATCAAAAGCTTTTTTCAAGTCTACTTTCAGAGCCATAGATGGATCCCCCCTTTTGAGACCAAAACCTTTAATCATATTCGTCACAAGAATAATATTATTATGAATCCAATGCCTTTTAACAAACGCAGATTGCTCCAAACCAATAAAAGTGGACATCACACTTCTAAGTCTATTAGCTAAAATTTTAGCAATGATCTTATTGGTAAAATTACACAAAGAAATAGGCCTGTAGTTAGCAATATTATCACCATGACCCTCCTTTGGAATCAAAGCAAGGAAAGTAGCTTTAACCCTAAGAGGCATAGAATTATTATGAAAGAAAAGCATTACTGCAGCAAGAACATCAATCCCAACTATACTCCAATATCTTTGAAAAAACCTTGTTGGGAAACCATCTGGACCTGGTGATTTATCCAGATTAAAATTCATCACTACGTTTTTGACTTCTTCAGTACTGAATCACAGTTCAAAGTGCTACCAGCCTCCTCTCAGAGAGACTTTCTAGGCCTTCTAACCGAATTATCAACAAAGTTTGAAGTATAAAAAAAATTGTCATATAATTTGGCTAGCTAATCCTTAATAACCTTTGGATCTTCCGAAACCTCCCCATCTGTATTTTTCAAACAAGTAATAGCATTATTACATCTACGCTACTTGACCACATTATGAAAGAAAGCTGAACATTTATCTCCCTCCTTAAGCCAAGTGAGACGAGATTTCTGAGCCCAAACAACTTCCTCAAGATCACAAGAATGTTGAAGATCAAGGCTTAAAGCTCTCTCCTTATCAATCAAGTCTTGATTCAGATGATCATTCAGAAGCTGAAGCTACACCACCTCAAGATCATGTATAGCTACCTTAACTTACTCAGAGGTTGTGCCTTTCTTGAGATTCCAAACCTTAATAGCAGCTTTAATCTCTCTAAGCTTCCTTTGCAGCTGATGAAAAGGATTTCCAGAGACAGCACAACTCCAAGCTTGAGCTATAACATCCTCAACTTCATGCTGCAAGCACCAAATCTTCAGAAATTTAAAGGGCTTAGGACCTTCAGAACTGTCCATATGCCACTTAACTGCAAAACTATAATGGTCAAACAAAGAAGCGTAAGTGAGATAAGTTTTGGAATCTGTGAATAAATTGAACCAACTATCATTAGCCAAAACTCTATCCAACTTAGCATTAATTCTCTTCTGAATCCTTTGCTTATTACACTAGGACCAAGTCCCATTATTAATTGGAATGTCTTCCATTTTTAGGTCCTTAACAAGTAAGTTAACTTCATCAAGATTGGCCTGAGTAACCCTCAAACCACCTAATTTCTCTTTATGAAAATGAACCATATTCCAGTCTCCTAAAGCAAGCCACGGCTCATCCATTAAGGAAGCATGAATTTTCAAATCAGACCACAATACCTTTCTTTCTTGAACTGTGTTAGCAGCATAGATAGAAGAAACCCAAAATGTGAGACCTAAATGAAAATGTTTAACTTTAAGAAGCATAGTTTGAGCCTCCTCTTTCACTAAAATAACATAAAAAACAACCTTATTCCACCCAATCCAGATCTTCCCTAACGTATTCGCCATATAATTAGGTATCCAATTCCAAGAAGAATAAATTTTATTCTGAATACGAACTACTTTAATAACTTTAACTCTAGTCTCCACCAAAATAACCAAGGCAAATTTATTAGCAAGAACCCATTGCCTAACTTCTTTCTGCATAGAGGGTCTATTAAGCCCTTTAACATTCCAACAACCAATCATAAAAAACGGGGTAGAAGAGGTGGCAATACTCCACCAAACTTTGATGCCCTAGTTACTCTATCTGTAACAGGGACAGGGTCCTTCTTATTTGACTTCTGTTTCTTAGTCTTAAATCTTTCCGAGCCTGACGAATTTGTTTCCTCATTCAGAGCTACTTTAACTTCTGGAGTAGCATCTTGATTTGAGGAGATCCTAACTTCAGAAATAACCTCCGTATTAAAAACAACAGTATTAACTGGACATTCAATCACAGAATCATTTATCCCACTCCTATAGTCCACCATTACATTAACAACAGGGTCTTTGTCCAACCCTATTGGAGTGGCCGGATTCATGATAATGGAAACCTCAGCATCAACAATGTCAATGGAGTTCTTCTCCATTTCCTGTACATCTTCCAAAACCGCAAAACCATTAGTAGTAAGAACTGGAGCTGGTGAAGGAATCACACCAGGCCTCTTGGACATTTCCATAGCATCTTCATCAACGATGACATTTTTTCGCTTGTGCTTAATAACCCATTTTTCCACTGGCTTCTTTGGTCTGTTTTGCATCACTTTCAACAGACACCGATCTTCCATATGATCAACCTTTTTGCACATTCCACATAGTTTAGGTCTCCATTCGTATTCAAGTGTAAGATTACAATCACAACCATGGATATCAATCACCATCGAATCTGGCAATGCTTCAGTGATTTCCACTTCAACCATCACCCGGACAAAATCTCCTTTATCTCTATGTTGGTCCAGATTATCCATATGTATGGGCTTAAAGAACTGAGAACACACCATCAAAATCACTTCAGCATAATGACAATGAACAGGAAGACCGTAAATTCTAATCCCCACTGGGACTGAATTAAACACTTCCTTCATAAAATTGACATTTTTATTCCATTGCTTAATGATAATAGGGCGACCTTTAAAAGTATGAATTCTTGAAAGAATCCGCACCACATCTTCTTCCGATTCGAACCGAACCATGAAAAAATTATCCTTTAAATAAACCACCGTAACTTTCTTATCCTATCATTTTTTGACATATGCCTTGAACTGATGGTAATATGGCCTTTTACCCATAACATATCCTATAACCGAATTCTTTCAATATGCAATACCTTCTGAAACATCCGATTCCGTAATTGAAACCTTGGAGCCTCTATTTACACTGTGATATATGAGATTTGTAAAAGTGTTTGAGGACGAGGAACTAAAGAGATTACGCCATGAAGGAGGTGAAGGAGGAGAGTCCCGGCCTATTGACACCGTCGGAAGGGAGGAGGAGGGAGATCCTCCCTCCATTATGCATATAAAAACTTAGTCGCCTCTCAATCGCGCAAAAATCGCCTTACAAAGGAAAAAGGCAAATAAAGTTGCCTCTTTATTGTTAACGTCTTTTGTTGACCTCGGGTTTGGGTAAGGACCCAGTTAGCGATTCGAACCCTCGGGTTCGGGTCATTACAAAAATGGTAATACATAATATACGTGTTCGGATACCATTTTTGTAATGCCCCGAACCCAAGGGTCCGAATCGCTAACTGGGTCGTTACCTAAACCCGAGGTTAACAAAAGACGTCAGCATTGTTTCCTATGGCAATACATAGTATACATGATTGCCTATTGGCACCGGGTCAAAGGCAATAAGGTTGTTGAGTTCTTAGTCCTGCGATTTGATAATGTGTTTCCCAAAAAGGTGTGTGGCTGTGGGCTTCCTTCTTTAAGGAAGATAGATTTTGGGGACGAAATTTTTTAAAGTTGGGGAGAATGTGATGTTATGACTTATATATATATATATATGTATTAAATGAAAAAAAAAGTGGTGGGACCCACCACTTATCTTTAAATGGCATGAAGGCCACATATGGCCTCACAACTCTCTCTCTCTCTCTTTCCCGTAACTCACTTTCTCTCCCTTTTCTCATTTCATTTTCTTTTTTCTTTCCAAGTGAGACTTAAATCCTTGATTTATCTCTTGTCTTTTGGAATTTTTGGGTGTCGTTTGCGGTAAATCGGAGAGTACGGCGAGATCTACGTGTGAGTACAAGCAATTCGTTATTTGGTGCATCTTAGGAATTCCGAAAATTTGGACCCTTTTGAGGGTTTTCTACAAAATTGAGGTAGGGTGTTCTAATCCATGACTTTTTGGATTTTTGTGAATTTTCCTCTTTAATTTGACCATAAGCATGCTTAATTTTAATTATCTTGTCCATTGCTATTGTGGTTGTATGTGCTTATAACGACAAATGTGTTTTACTTGCTAATTGGGTTATATACATGGCTATTTACATTATTGTGAAGAAGCATGCTTAATTTTGGTATATTGTATGACTTGTGAATTCTCAATTGCTATGGAAATTGATGTATACATGGCTATTTACATTATTGTGAAGAAGCATGCTTAATTTTGGTATATTGTATGACTTGTGAATTCTTAATTGCTATGGAAATTGATGTTGTGGTTGTGAAATAATTGTTTGGAATTTCCTATAAAATAATAATAATAAATTAATGATGATGTAGAAGAGCATGTAAAATTTTATTGTTCAATTATGCTTAGAAGCATGAAGCATTCTTGCATCCATTGGAAATAAAAAAGAAAGGGAAAATTGTTTTAGAAAACAAATGAAATTGTTTTTAGGAAATATTTTTTTGAAATATGTTTGTGAAAACCGGATGCCTAGGAGGTGCCTAGTGGTCCGTGGTGTTAGTGTAGTCTAGAAAGGAGTGTGGTTGAGGTAACTAGGACGGATGCGACGCCTTGGAGGTGCCTTATGGTCATGGATAGTTAGCCAATCCTCCTTTCGTGACGCCTTGGAGGTGCCTTGGGTCGGATTACACTAACGGTTTGGAAGTTGAAACGGAGATGTTTTGGATAAGGGGAGCGACATGGGCATGGCATTGCACTTCATTGTCATACATGGTATACTTGTGACTTTGATGACAATCGTGGTTATATTTGACGTTGTGGTTATGGATTGTATCCCTGGTATAGTATGATCCCGTTCTCTTAATTTTTATTCTATATGTGGATTCACGCGGTCATAAGAGATGTGTCTTAGACACCTCCTACATGCTCACCCCATTCTTTTAACCATTTTCAAGTTTGGGAAAGGAAGTGGCGGACGACGTTCCTTTATAGGTTTTGATGGGTTAGTAGACTGTTTGACCTATTTTGAAGCTATGATCTCATATTGTTATTATTATTAGTATAATTATTATTTATAAACCCTGGGATGACACGTATATTATGTATTGCCATAGGAAATAATGGTAACGTCTTTTGTTGACCTCGGGTTTGGGTTAGGACCCAGTTAGCGATTCAAACTCTCGGGTTTGGGTCATTACACAAGGGTAGTAATGTCTTTTAAATGGGTCACCTGCTGGCTTCTTTCATCCAGAGAGAGGGTTGAGACAAGGCTGCCCTTTATCTCCTCTCTTGTTTACTTTGATTATTGAACTTTTCTCTACCTTAGTTGTTGATGCTGTGCAGAAGAAGGAGTTAACAGTGTTGCAATCTATGGAAAAGTTTCACGAACCTCTAACTCACATATTTTTTGCAGACGATTTAATGTTGGTCTGTGAGGCTTCTGTTTATAATGCAGGTGTTATTGCTGATATTTTCAGTTGACTTGAAGAGATTACAGGTTTACAAATCAATCAGCAAAAAAGTAAAGTCCTATTCTCAAGAGCAGTGAGAAGGAAACATGCTCTACTGCAGGTTCTGAAGTGTACAGAAGATACTTTTCCAATTAAATACCTAGGGTTACCTTTGTGTCCAACTGGGCTAAAGAAATTTCATTGTAAGGAGCTACTAGACAAAGTTGCTAATAAGATAATGTGCTGGAATACAAAGTTGTTGTCTTTAGCAGGTAGGTTGGAATTAATAAGAGTTGTGGTTATGCCTATTTTTCAGTACTGGTGTAGCATATATGATATCCCTGTGGCAGTCATCAATCAAATTCAAAAGAAGTGTAGAGATTTTCTTTGGGGAAGTAAAGAAGATACAAAGAAGTTACATTTATTGAACTAGGACAGAGTGACCCAACCAAAATCCGAAGGGGGGTTGGGGATTAGAAAGCTCTCTAATCTTCAATTAGCATCTCGATGCGTGTTAGCTTGGAATTTTTTAACAACCAAGGATAGATTATGGATTTTATGGTATAAGTTCAAGTACACTCAGCACTCTGATTATTGGAATGTGGTGGTAAAGCAAACCAGTTCTCCTATTTGGAAATCTTTAGTGGCAGTGAGAGATGTGATGCAACAACACGTTCAATTCCAAATTAGGGATGGACGTCATACTCTGTTATTTAAGGATCCTTGGTGTCATGGCTAACTATTTAGTGCTGTGTTTGGTCACAGAGTTGTCCGGAGCCTACAGCTACACAGAGAGGCTGTTGTTAGTTATTTGATTCAGAATGGGGTTTGGGACACCTACACTTTACAAAGTGAGTTTTTGACTCCAGTTAGATTGTTTCTACAGAATGTAGTGATTAATGGAGGAGAGGATAAGCTGTTGTGGGATGAGGGTTGGTTCTCTTTCAAAACAGCTTGGAATGGTATTAGAATAGCTACTACTGAAGTTTCTTGGCACAAAGTATGTTGGGGTAAGGCTCGTCCTAGATGGTCTATCACAGCAGTGTTGGTTCTACTTGATCGATTGCCTTCCATGGCAAATTTGCAGAGAAGAAAGGTTATTCTAGCAGTAAGGTGCACACTGTGTCAACAGAATATTGATACTACTGACCATGTCTTTGTCTCATGTCAATTTTCACAGGGGGTTTGGAGATGGTTAGGGGGTGTCTTAGAGTGGGAGAT